AAATTATAATGATAATCAAGTATTATATTATTAAATAATTAAATTAATTAATTAAAATTTAATTAGATAAATTCAATAAAAAATTAAATCAAACATACATCTTCTATCTTATATAAATATATAAAAGTCAAAACCTTTGACCAAAAAGGAAATTATCTAACCTATATAATTGACATGTGAACAATTTTAAAAAGTTGTCATATATCTTTTAATAAATAAATCACATTTATATTTTATTATTTACCTTAAATCACTTTTAATTAAATTCATATTAAAGGCAATAAAACTTTAATTGCCATCATCATAGAATAATTTTGTCACTTTCTTTTCCAATTATAAATATTCAACTCTTAAATTATATTTGTGTAAAAAAAAAATTCAATTGCCAATTTTTTAACCTATGACCTATTTATTTACTCTATCATTTAAGCTATGCTATATATATATACACACACGTGCGCACATGTTTCATATGTATATATATTATCTTATATAATCTTATATAAATATATAAAAGCCAAAACTTTTGATAAAAATAAAAATTATTCAATGTGGATGGCTAATATAATTGACATGTAAACAATTTTAAAATATTATCATGTATCTTCTAATAAATTAATTACATTTATACTTTATTATTTACCTTAAATCACTTCCAATTAAATTCATATTAAAGATAACAAAACTTTAAGTTCCATCATCATAGAAAAATTTTGTCACCACTTTTGCAATTGCAAATATTCAACTCTTAAACTACATTGTGTAAAAAAAAAAAAAATTGGTTGTCAATTTTTTAACCTATGGCCTATTTATTTACTCAACCATTTAAACTATGTTATATATAATATGATATCCCTCATGGTGGAACAGCCTATGGAACTTATAATGATGCAGCTGAATCCCTCAGTTAGCTCATCCATTCCCTCTGAACAGCCTATGGAAGAAAAGGCTATCACCTACATGGACCTTGTTTTGTTCAAAGCTGCGGCGGATGGTGACGTGGAAGCATTTAGTGACTACCAAGTTGCTCTTGATTGCCTGGTTGACGGAAGCCAAAACACGGTGCTTCATATTTACTCCAGAACCGGAGGACGCCTGGTAGTCAAAAATGTTAGAGCGTTTCCGTGTTTTCAGAAAAGGGCATTCGAAAGAGAATTCTCCATTAACTTTGTGGAGCAACTTGTCAACAAGTGCCCATCACTGCTACTGCAACGCAATGCCAACTGGGAAATCCCATTGCACATTGCAGCAAGACATGGGCATTCTGGCATAGTCAAAGTCCTTATTGAACGCGCCAATGTAGTGCTACATGAAGACCCGGAGAGAGGGTTGGATGCAACCGGGGCGAGGCAGATGCTGAGAATGAGGGATGAGGAAGAAAATACTGCTTTCCATTTGGCCGCTCGATATGGCCATCTTGATGTGTTGCGACTGTTGGTCAAAGAAGATCCTGATTTTGCTTTCTCCGCTAATACAAGCGGTGAGACTCCACTCTACTTAGCTGCCGAGGGAGGATATCATGGTATGGTTACTGAGATGTTAGATAATTGCAAATCAACGGTTTATGGTGGCCCCAATGGTAGAACAGCTTTGCATGCAGCAGTCCTGGCCGGAGATGAAAGTAAGTGATCAGTTCATTATTTTGTGTTATTGTTGTTGTTTTGGGATAATTTACTCAATGGCTATTCTCGTTGCTTTTTCTGCCAATGGGAACGCATGTTCTGTTTCTACCCTGGCCAAACAAGGAAAATAAAACAAAACAAATGCATAGTCTTGGTCATTCATTTTTCAAAATTAAATAAATTCACATGTACTGCTGTTGTTGAACTTTTTGATCTTTTTGTTGTGTTTTGGTAATGACAGAGACAGTAAGGAAACTAATAGAGGAAAAATGCAACTAACCAACAAACAGATGACAATGGGCGGACTCCACTCCACTATGCTGCGCATTTCGGTAAACGTTCAATTGCCAAAGTTTTGTTGGAAAAGATGCGTCCGCTGCTTATATAGTGATAAAGAGAGAGGGATGTCGGCTCTTCATATGGCAGCTTGGCAAGGCGAGCATAATGGAGAAATATCTCTCATTGCCAGTGCTGCGAATGGTTACAAAGAGGCTGGAATTTTCATACTTTGCTGTCGTTGAGTATCTCCCAAAAACTTAAGAGAATCTTAGATAACAAGATTAAGATTCACAAATAGAAATCTTTTTTCATGAAAAGGAATGTTAAGGTACACGCTATCCATATATCTACTTGAGGCCTTCGTCAGCTTGGTTGGTTTTCTCTTATCCTTTCTTCTAGATCGTGAACTTCAAGTAAGATTAGGAGTGGGAAGTCCGGCAATATTTTGACCAAATGACACGAACAGAAGGTATAAAGCTTTACCCTGCTTGATTTTACTATTCTCTCCTTTTCAAAATTGTTTAGTTTTTTTTTTTTTTTTCAATTTCAGAAAAAATTATTGATTTTGATGTACTTAATTTTACCTTTTCTTTTCTAAAAAATTTCAAGTCATCAATTTCGTGCATACTAATTGATGTCAAAGTGTAAGACACATGATGATTTAATATCTGAAATGATTTAAGACCTGATAAAAAGACCAAGGCGTCATCGCTTTACAAATATGGAGGTATGAATAAGTGACTTTTGAAAATAAAAGAATCGAATTTTTAAGGATAACGATACTATTTACTTATAAAAGAAATTGGCTTTTTTGGGCTTTAAAAAAGCAAAAGATGGATATAAAAAATTGAGATTAGATGAAGTATTTTATTAAGTACAAATTTTATAGTTTTATTAGTCTTTAAAAGTGGACTTCTATAACAAAGTTTTAAATTACTTATAGGAAAAATATTAAACTCAACTACTAAATGCAGAGTTTAGATAATTAAAATAACATTGACATGTGTCCACTTTAATAAATTCCTAATTTTATTGTTTCATTTACAAAATCTATACAATATATGGAAAGGATCCCATGAGATTTTTCCAATTTCATTTTCAGTTTTTATTTCTTTTCCATTTATCTATTTTTGTAAATATTTTTATTTATATTTTCTCTTTTTTTTTATTATCTTTTTAGGGATAAACTGCTTCATAAAAATTACAAAAAAAATTAAAGAAAATTAAATTAGGCTAATCTAACTTTTAAATATTTTCTTTTCATTTAGTTTAATTTTCTTGTATAGAAGAAAGATTATAAACTTATTATTTTCAATAATTTTTTTAGAATCAATTCAACCATAATAATAAATACCATAGTAAAAAAACAATAATAATAAATAAGTAATTTAAATAATAAATACTCAGAATTAGGAAATGAAATATAAAGAAGAAATTAATGCAAAACAAAATGAGAGAAAAATATATTAATTTAAAATATAGTAATAATTTTTCTTGATTTTTTTTCATTTATTTTATTTTCATAGACAGAAGAATTAAAGAAAATATTTATCAATTCAATCATTGTAATAAATAAATAATTTAAATAATAATAAATAATCAAAATTAGGATATGAAATACAAAAAAGAAATCATTGCAAAAAAGGGAAAAATGGAATACATAATGAAAGGTAAGGATGAGAGAAAACCAAAAAAATTAAAAATTAATTCGAAATCATAACATTTGATTTAGATGGAATCGATTTTTTCTTATTGGTTGTAATTGTATCGATTTAAAGAAAAGTTGATTAGAATTTAAATCAAACTTTAAAAATTCATAATATTATACTCTATTTAAAAAAATTAAATTAAATTCGATATGAACTATTATTATCCTAATAAAAAGTTACTCTCTCTTGTCATAAATCTCACTCTGCCCATCTCAAAATCCTAATTCAAAACATTTAAACTAAAGTCTTAAATTTTAATTATTGGGATGTCACATTAGAGACAACTATTATACTAGCAGATAATGAAATGTATAATTTAATAAAAAGATTGTGTAGAAATAAAGTTAAAAAATGAGAAAATGTTACAACAAAGGCTTTTAATTTTGTTTATCTAGTTTAAAAACTCCATCACCAATATATGGATAAGTAAAATTCACTAGTAGTTCATGAACTTCCATGATATATATATATATATCTCACTTTTATACATGACAAAAAAAAAAGATTTTCCATGAATAATGTTTTAGAAAAGTTTATGGTTTATCTTCTATTAGTCATTAATCAATTAGGATATGTATACGAGTATCACTTGTCTACCCATAGGATGAAAAAAACTAATATGAAATTTTTTAGGTGAAGTTTGTAAAGTTTTTTTTAAAATAATTTAATAGAAAATTCAAACCAATAAATTGATAAAGTTTAATGTGAATATCAATAATATGTAAAAAAATTATTAAAAAAATTATTTATAATTCAAATATGATCCATATAAATTTAAAACATGCATGTGGCCCACGTGTGGATCCCGTCACGTGTTTGTATTTACATCACAATGTTTGCATGAACATTTTTTAATTTTCTAAATGTTGATTGACGAAACGATGGATAGCAAATTTTTTTTTTAAAAAAAAGGATATATATCTTTTGTGTCATGAATGAAAATGATATATTTATAAAAATTGTGAAGTACCCGTGAATTTTTCTCATAGACTAATAAATGCTAATCATTCCTTAAATCGACGATTATCGTTGCAGAAACACATTCGCCAATTGTTGAATGACATTGGTGATAATGTAGAAGTGGAAGGGTTACGGGTTCACCCAAACTTCAGAAAAAGGGTAAAGGACGAGGATGATGTCTCCTCCATCGAAGTTGTGGAAAAAACACGAGAGACCCATTTACTGGTGGCAGCGCTAGTAGCAACCGTAACATTCGCCGCAGCATTCAACGTACCTCGTAGATACAAGAGTGATGAGCAAGGGGATGCAACCTTGAGTCGTGACCCAGCTTTTAAAGCCTTCATTATTACAGATACCCTTGCATTTGTTTCCTCTCTTTTAGCGGTCATGCTTCATTTTCTCTTGGTATTCCTGAAGTGGAGTCTAGTTAATCTCCGATATCAGGTGATTGGTCTGGCAGATGTCTTAACTTTTTATGCGATCATAGCAATGGTGATTGCTTTCAGCACAGGCAGTTACGCAGTGTTACAATCTTCCATGGGGTTTGCTATCGCCACATGTTCCCTTGGCCTCACCTTCTTTCCCGGTTTGCTCATTGCTTCTGCCATTTATAAGTTCTTTATCCGATAAAGGACACCATACGTACTCCTAACTGCAAGCCTGCTACTGCCATAAAATTAATTAAAATATAAAAGGCGACTGTTTCATTTGTATTGCTACATATGAATCATGAAATAAAGCGGGCAGTAATTCAAGGATTCGATGTGGTTTTTACTCAAGTTAAAACTAGTTACAAATTGCTTTCTGCCCCCTGGTTTCTAAGCTATTAATGTTTCATGAAAGTTTAATTTTTGGCAATAAATTTTTTTTTCTCGTCCATTATATATCCGCCCTTTATATGGTCCGATCATATTGTTTCTTTGGCTCTTTTCATATTCTCTTTCGAATTTTGAACAGGTTTTTAGTGAGGATTTTCTTGTGATCATGAGTAATTTTACCACAAATATTAAATTTATTATGACAAAATTTATGTGTTATTATTATCATAAATTTGTCATGGAAGATGACTCGGGGCTGTAATTCCAAAGCCCTTTCAGCTCTCCCCTTACCAAACCTAATAAGACAGCAACTTCTGCAAAAGGAAAGAAAAATCAGAAGGGAGAAAGGGAAGGGGAAAACGAGTTACAATGAGATAGTATAAGAGATTTTTTCTGACAAGCCAGCCTGAAGTAGCCTATATCCGGGTGGAATTTTGAACTTTGTTGCCTAATGTACAAGGAACAAGATAGAGGAGTGCAGGTTGACCATGCCCATTCATTAGATATAACCCTAGGTATGTAAAGAAGAGGCCTGCAATACGTGAAATTGAAATAAATTAGTACAACTATATAGCTTCACAATAGTTATTTTGGTGTTACCCAACTCTTTTTTTAATAGCTTTTCAACCAACTAAATACAAGAATACACCTCTGATATTCATTCATTTTCACCAATCAAACATCGAGGTTATTCAGTACTTTCAAGTTCACAGGCAATACTATACTCAGAAACCTACATGATATGCAGAAAGATACATTTTGTTTCCCAAGATTAACAACCGTGATTCACAAATTAAAATATAATGGCAATACTACATGTGAGTGTGTAGTTTGTATGTATGTGTGTGTCAATGATGATTGATTATTTTCCCTTCAAGACAAAATATCAAGAGCATATATCAATATGTATTCCAGTAATTATCCTGGAACAATAAAGTATGTAATTCCACAGGCCATTTATATCCAGGTCTTAAGTTGGAGCCAATTTGAAACAAATAAAGGTAAACCTGATGCTTTTGATACTTGTATGCCCATCAATCACAGAATTGCTCTTAAAGCTAAAGTGATAACCAGATATGACACTATAATTAAATATAAGTATATAACTAAGCAGATGCTGGTCTCAACAATTGCATTTACACTGGACAAAAATTGCAATTATTTGAAATCACAGAATATACATGCCAGGAAAAAACATCATTCAAATCATTCCGAGTTAAATAAACATTTGTAGGGAAGTCAGACATCGAACAGAAATTGCAAAGAAAGAAACACCAATCAACAAAATTCAGTTTAAACTTAGCAAGCCTAATGAAACTATTATATTTCACAGACAAAATATGATTTTCTCACCTAGGGTGGGAAAGAAGTCTTAGAGACACAGTACATATATATATATATATATATATATTAACAAACTATGATACATGCACACTCACCAAATCCATAGCCAATTACCAACCACAGAAAACACCCATTGGCAAGGTGCTTCTTATTTTCTTTATCATATCTGAAAAAAACCAAACAGGGAAAATAATCATTAACATGGGCATGAACCCTTCAAAAACAAGCGCATAAAAAAGGCAATGCACCGACGTGCAATATTAACAGTAAAACTCAAAATTAACACTGAAAACGGTTCAAACGCCTACCTGCCCTGTCTAATCCGGTTCAACAAGGTGTTTGACCAGCTCGACAAACACTCGGTTCAATGCCCCTTTTTGGGATTGGCTGCCTGGCAACCTAAAGGCCTCG